TGATGGCGAGCAACCACTTCCAAGGTTTTTTTGGACTCATTGCAAGCAGTCGCACGACGACGTGAGACTCGGATTACAAAGCCTTTCCAAGGCAGGAGTCTGCTTACCCAAGCACATATAGACACTTTGAGGCTATCGATTCTCAGGAATCTTGAGGAACCACCTCTAGCTCCATAGCAACCCCAAGTTCCATCCAATGTCCAAACCAACAAGCCAGCTTTGGCTACACAAGTACAAGTCCTGCCACAGCTAGCTCACAGGATGTGCCAACAGTGACAGCAGGAGTGGTATTGATAAAGTTGTACCCACAAAACCAAAGTCTCAAACCTTTTTCAACCTTCCTTTGAATTCTCCGATCGATCTATCCAGATTGACACACCAGATCGACTGACAAGAAACGATCATGCCAGATCGAATGACATGAAGCGATCGAATCACAAGCACGACCACGAGCGAGAATCAATTCAGTTTGAACTCTCGCGATTGAACTCAGAAGATCCACCATGAGATTGCAAGTGCGACCACAGAAGCCTATCAAGGCAGAGCAAGCTTACTCAGCAAGGGTAGCCACACACAGTGCTACCGGATATCTTTGCAGAGGATTCCCACAGTTCACAGGAACAGTTCCACCTGGAACCAGCTCAAAGCAAGCAACAGTTCGACGGAATGCCACAAGTTGCCAGCACCCATCTACAAAAGGTCAAACCAAGGTCCACATCAAGCAAGCACAAATTCATGTACAACAAGTCACAGCCATTTGATTCCAAAAAAGAGGAGGCCGTGATGAAGGAAGAAGTCCCCAGCTGGGAGAGAGGATTCCATTCCTCTGGAAAGACAACAGCAGACATCAACACTTCTTGGACATCCAACAAAAGAGACAGCTCACGTTCCATCCAATGGACAACAAGCTGACTCCAATAGCAACCAAGCTATTGCACAGATCATGCTCACCTGATTTCCAATCAGTATCAAGCCTGAATGGATTGATGTTTCCAACATCATTGGCGATTGAGACATGGCATATCGATGTCCAGTTCAGTCTACACCGCCAGTCAAGAGCCAGTTTGAGTCTACGAGAATGCAGCCGAACTTCCTAGTTTCCAGCTAAAGCAATACCAAGTGACCGAACTTCCCAGTCCACGGTTCCAACAAGCGATCGGAACTTCCCAGTTTCGAAAACAGCAACATCAAGTGACGGCACCAACTGCCACAGCAAGTCATAAGGAGTGGCAACACTCACAGGAGTGGTAGCCAAAGTGGCTTTTCATGACGACACTGTACATGTCACATTGACTGTGACAGATTTGTCAGACTGCTATGGATGACAAGCTTCTCGCCACCAAGCGGAATGGCGAGCAACCTAGCAAGTGGTCTCTGGACCACCAACTGTTCCTTATGAGCAACCATCATTACATTAATATTCGTTCCACGGTATCTTTTATGGAACCGTGCAGGAGTGTGTTGGAGGTTGTATTACAGAACACCTCAATACAAATTAGTCGTTTATCCCAATCTAGTTTATAGGGGATATCTATATCTATTCTCTAGTTACATACATGGGAGTTTAACTGATCTATATGGTCACCCCCTTCACTATATCCTTTGAAGTTGAATCAATCCCAGAAAACATGGAGAAGATCACTTCTTGGAAATAGCTTAACAGTAAAACAGTATTTTACCTTTACTAAGCTAGAGTGTTACTAGCAACCAACAGTCCTCTTCCTTTGGTGGCTGCTCAGAGCAATGAGTGGCTCCTAGCACTATCTGCAGTGGCAGCCAGTCTAATTGGAGCATGTGTGCTACCACATTGCTCCGCTTAGAGTCATGGCTACAGTGTAGTAGGCTGTGTGATAAGGGGATAGGCAAATCTTGCAACAGCCATGTATTGTATTGGAGTGTGACTCGCCAAAATCAGTTAAAAAGACGAAATTCGTATTTTTGCAGGAAGATAAAATTAATTGGATTGCATTGGATTGGATTGCATTGAATTGGATTCCAAATAGTACTATTATTTATATAGTAAACTGTAATTCAATGCAATCCAATCTAATCCAATCCAATGCAATCCAATCAAATCCAATAGAGAAAAACGAGGATCTCTCAGGCGAAGAAGAGTTCCGTGGGATCAGGTGCAACAATAATGAGGACCTACGTGACGGCTGGAGATTTGAAATGACATTGCGCACATGGAATGGTTACCCTTGGGCTTCATGGACCTGCTGTTCTGCTGCTGGAAATGGGCATTTCAAAGTCCTTAAGTTCGCATCGACATGCTTTGCTGTTGCTTGCAAGGGACTCGGAGACTCTGACATAATATGCTCATGAACATGGATGTGCATTGGATGCAACCACATGTGCCCCTGCTATTGGATATGGGCAAATGGAAACTCTGAATCATGCTCACGAGAATGGTGCCCCGTGGAGTTGGAAGTAGCAACTAGCTAGGATTGCCACATGCAAGGCCCAACTGAAAATGTACCGTCCGGCAGTGTGGGCTAGCCAGATATTGTGGTATGTTTCCTCGTCTCGCTCAGCGTTCCTGTTGACTTGCCCCTGCCACTTGCCACTCCCACGAGGTTTACGTTGTCCGAACGAGTCGAGTCGATTCGATTCAACTTCCCCGTTGTTGGCTTCGTTTGGACGTCCTCGCCACGTGATTCCATTCAAAGTTTCACTGCAGACTTTGGCATTCAACATTTGCTTTTCTCTTGCTTGTGCTCCTTGGAATGCAACCTCATTGAGGGAAGTTGCCTACCGTATCCGAACTGGGCAATCGCCCCATGCAACCACCCCATGCAGCCACCGGGCGGGATGTTTCGACGGTTCTAGCAAGGTTTCGTGCAGTACTACGGTTCAGGGATAGTCGGGGCAAAACAACTGTTTCTGCCTCGCATCAAGGTCTTACGTAAAACACCCAATATAACACTCACTGTTGCTACGATCCGTCGAAGGCAGCGAAACCTAGTAGCTAGCACGTTACAACTCTGGTGCCTGGCAAAGGAGAAATCCTGTCCTCAAAGTTTATCAAACCATAAACTTCGCTATTTCGTCTCTTGTCCTCAAAACAATCTCGGTGAATTGCATATTTTAATTGACCAATAATAAGAACAGCAACACTCTACACGAGAACTAGATAGATATCTACGGTACGGGATTACCTAATAAACCATTGCAACCAACGAATGTCCGGTTTTTTGTCGTCTACTCATCATCATCATCGTCGTCGTCATCATCATCGTCGTCATCATCGTCTTCAGCAGTTCGAACGGCTTTGAGAGTAAAGTTATCCCAGGCTTCTTCCAATGAACTGCCATCTGATTTGGCCAAGAGAGGGGCGAATTTGGGAAGGGCGCTCTCTTCTCCTTCTTCTTCGTCGTCATCGTCGCCGCCACTTTCCTCTTCGCCCCCAGCTTCCTCTTCGTCTCCTCCTCCAGATTCTTCTTCTTCTTCCTCTTCGGCTGCTGGTGCTTCTTCTTCTTCCTCTTCGGCCTCCTCTTCTTCTTCTTCTTCTTCCTCCTCCTTGGCGGCTGCCGGCTTGTCCTTGGACTTGGCGGCCATCCGAGCATCCTTGGCCGCTTGGACAGCCTTGATGTGAAGATCTGGTTCCTTGGCCAGACCCAACTCAATCAACCACTCTTGATCCAGTGCCGGCCAAATGAACCATGTGGCACCCAACGCGAGGGGAAACGCCCACATGGCGTAGGGTGCTGGATTCGGTCGCATCAACTGCGCCACGGTGGGGGAAGCCTTTCGGAAGGCTGACCTGAAAAAGCTCGACATGGTAGCTACGATAACAACAACTCCTTAACAAGCTCTTGGTAGAGTACAGAAGACGATGCCGATGAAGGGCTACAGTACGGATGCGATGATGAAACTGCTGCGACGGCAACCGAAGAGCTCGCATCCGACCATGGTGATAAAAGATCGGAATGTTGCTGGACAGAAGGCCAGGCCATGACGTCAGTGACGCGTGGTTTTTCGGTTCTCATGTGCGGCCCAACAATTTAGACGTTAAAGATCTCCAATTCAAAATTCGAAAGACTTAGGGGGTTCCAACCCAAGCAGAGATGGAGAAGAATTGGGAACAAGAGGATATCAGAGGATATCATACCCTTGCCATTATCGTGATGCTGTAGTGCCTCTACTTGTCGTTTGGACCTTGATGCTATTGTGGTTGTCCTTATTATAGACAAGATAATCAGTCATGATGTTGTCTCTCAATGGTAGCTTCAGCAAAGATAAGGATGTATATCCACTCAATACAAGAAAGCCAACGTCCTTGAAGCGGGCATTGGCTATTAAGCATGGAGACAAACTCTTTGTCGCCATTGCCGTCCTGATATGCATGGAAATGAGCATGTTTGCTCGTCTGTATTTCGGAATCGAATCATCCTTTTCGTCTGCAGAATCAGCAGCAACAACAACGACAACCAGTGATACTCAAAATCATAAAAACAACAAGAAGCCCCTGCATTCCCACAAGTTAAAGTTACGGCACAAGGATCAACCAACCAAAAGACATCATCATACAGCAGCAGAAACAATACTGAGACCACGAGTCGTCATGTTGGATCTGTACAACAATGAAGAATCAGGAATTGCTTCCAATTCATTTTTTCAACCAAATCCCGCTCGCAAAGTCAAGCCCATGGGCGACTTGGATTGCTGCAAACAAGATCCTCAAGGATACATCAAGACAGATGAAAAGCCATTCTATGAGACATGTGATCCCATGGCAGATTGGCAAACCACCATTTATCCCACGTGCAATATGCTACACGAGTTACCACTCATTGATGATAGTGACGATTATTTCAAACATCAACAACAACAAACCAAGAGAAATGACACAACGACAACAGAGGTAGAACCGGTGGTATCTCTCCTGAATACAAAAGGATCATGGAGAACTGTTTGGAAAGTCACCTCACAACAGCAACAATATACAAGCGGTGGTGAACCACATTATATAGTGTTGAAAACGCTCAGATACACTCGTGATTTCAATGAGGAATCCTACCAACTCCAGTACATAGATAGCATTGCCATGGAACGCCTCACATCGAGTCCGTACATTGCCAATGAATACGGCTTCTGTGGTCAGTCGGTCCTGACAGAATATGCACCCAAATCGGGGAGAGATTTGATCAAAAACAAGAAACTCAAAACATGGCAGCGCGTTCAAATTGCCCATGATCTTGCCGCTGCCTTGTCTGATATGCATTCCATTGACTACCCCAATGCTACCAATGCTACCTTTACACACAATGACATTAACATTGCCAACACTATTCAGGGAGAACATGGGAATATCAAGTTTAATGATTTCAATATTGGCGTGCGAATGCGGTGGAACCAAACGCGCCCATGTGGCTATCCGGTGCACTTTAATGCACCGCTGTGGAGATCCCCCGAAGAGATCTTGGCCACCAACACGAGCGACTATGTGCAACCCGACAAGAGTGATGTCTATTCCTTGGGCAATCTACTCTTTCAAGTGCTCACGACACATCAGCCATGGACTTGGTTGGAACCTGGAGGACGCTTGTCTGTAGAGGAGGTCATTGCACGCAAACTTGCTGGTGAATATCCTCACATCCCAAGCAAGTTTCATGGCGACAAACCTGGTGTTCAAGCTCTTTACTATGCTACTCTGGCATGCTTTGCACATGATCCGGAGGATCGACCAACATCTTACGAGCTATCCGAGTCGCTGCGGATTGCGCTGGATTGGTCCAAACAGGGGGTATCCAAAAACAAAGACGATGTGCGCCAGCTGTTCAACTTTCGGCGGCACAGCAAGCCACAAGGACGAACCACAAATGCCAAGCAACAATCTTCCAAAGGCAAGAAGGATAGGGGCACACCCGCGCAGCACGACAAAAATGCCACGGATGCTTCAACGCATCGACAATTGTCAGGTACCAAGAAACATGTAGTAACTCCGGCACCCCTAAAGGTTGTTCCGTCTCTAGACAACATGAATGCCACAGATTCTTCAACGGAACGAAGACTGGGTCACAAGATTGCTTGGACCGCCTCAAATAAAACCAAGGA